TAGTTCTTTTTTCTCATGCTGTGGACGTTTGTCGTTAAAGGTTCCTGTGTATACAGTTGGAATTTAGACATGAGGACGCAACTACGCACCCGTGTTGTCGTTACGCCTGTCGCACTTACTCAGGAAATTATCCGGATGGAGGTATGGGTGACCGATTGGGCTGTTTGACTGACAGGGACGGTCTGGAGACGGGTTCAAGACCGTGCGGCCGAATTTCCTCGCGTGATGTGGGGACGATAGAGCGTTTTCATAAGCAGTTTTACACTTGTTCTGAGGTCTAGGGTTGCGTGCCAGACACACATGGCGTCATGGGTCTGGCGAAGTTGTAAACGAGGGCCGGAAGTGGGGGAGAAAGACCCTACCTGTACCGATAACTACGCTTCTCGTCTTCTGCACCAGTTTGAAACTACTTTGCACTTTCATTTCTACGGTTACTTGGGTCTAAGGTGGGAACGCGGGCGGTCACTGCGTCGAGTCTTTCGTTACTGGTCGTGACCCTCGGACGGGAGCGTCTAACACCTAGTAGAGGGAGGGGGAGGTCTTGCACGTACCGAGTGGATGGCTGCAACCCTTTAATTAGGTTTATGAAAGCTGGCCTTTCCACTTTACTCAAAGGCTGCAGGTCTCCAGTGATGTACTGCAAAACCAGGTTGTCTAGCTGCGGCTGGGAGACAGTGAAAACAGGGCCGCTCCTGTACGATGTTAATGGGATTTGGGTGGTAGAGGATCTGTTTCGGCTCTCTTTTTTATTCGCCACTCGCACATACCTTGAAAGGCTAGTCGTATGCTTATTCTCAATGTGCCGTTTAAGGTTTGCTGTCGACGTCGTCGATGTAAGGACTTGCTTTTTCAAACCGGGCGGACACAGTTTACAGGCAAACGTTAGATTTTTTCCGTCTGAGTCAGTACTGACTTTAAAGTAAAACTCTTTTAAATGCTCATACGCCGACGCCATAGAGTCTGACTCTGAGCGAGTGCTGCTGCAGCTGCTCTCGGCTTCGTCCATACTAATTCATTCATTCAATGCTCGCGGCTTCCGCGGTTCCACATTGTTTGTTGTGAGGAGTCTGATGACGTATATTTTAGTGCGACAGCCAGGGGTGACAGGCGCGTACGCGTCACAGGCAGCTTGCTGTTGCCAGATTGGGTGGTTTTCCGCATTATTTTGAAGCCTGTTTACGGTGTGTTTTAACTGGGATATGAAATCTGGCACACTTTTGAACGCCGTTATAATACAGTGCTGAGAATGAACGCACTTTTGAACGCCTTTATACAGCGCCGAGAATTCACGCGTTCTCAATTACGTTCATCTAGTGGAAATACAGTACGTTCAGTTCACGTTCGCCCAAAATATGAAGGCGTTCATGAACGATCGTTCATTGAACGCGTTCAGGTACATCACTGCATATGGTATAGCTAATTAATCTGGGTCAAAACGTGTTGTGCCCACATGCAAAGGTTGTAAACTCTGGCTTATCCCTGCGTGGTATTATAGTAATAGCAAACAGCAACGTTCAACTCCTAATAAGAAGCTAAAGGGACGTTAATCTACGTCGGTAATATTAACTTTATTTAATACAAGATGTAATCATACAGCCCATGTACTATAATATTTTACAAATGATGAATTACAGCAAACATGTGCAATATATCCATTATTACAGCTCCGTGGGATGGCAGTGAGACGATATGGGTCCGTTCTTATCGTGCATCCATGGGTAAAGATAAACGCATGTAGTGATGCTGCTTGCTGAACACGTAACATGAACGTGCTGGGCGGCGCGGTCCCGTGGATTAGATGCGCGTTCATAATGCAGAGGGATATAACTCTCAGAATAACGTTATTAGCACATTTTTACAACTTGAGGAACGAATGTTTTTAATAAGGGCTATACAAGTGTTCATACTGGGTAGTTTATTTAGTTTAAAAAAAATTATCCAACGATTTACAGACCACTCTTTCCCCATGTAAGTCAATGGGAAAAAGTGTTTCCGGGCCTGGCAACCAAACGGAAGTGTAGTACCGCCGTTTGGCCACCACGAATATTTTCATCTGAGTCCGGCGCACTTCCTGGGGGCTTGCTCCCAGCAGGTTCTACTGAAGCCTTCCGAGTAAATCGCCAGAACACCGACACCTCCTCATCTCCACCGCTCCCATGTTTTCTTTTGTGTTGCCATAAGTTAGTCTCTCTGCGTTTGTGCGCTGGGCTAATGCTAATAATGTTAATGCGAGGATAATAAAATGGCGGCTTCACAAAACGGGGTGTGGTTTGCTTTCCTTCCTGTCAATCAGACATAGGAACCTTTTTCTTCCACGAAAGTACCTGCTCTCTAGCAGGGACGGAAAAGGGGGTAAAAAAGGCTCTCATGAACATTAACTAATTTTAGTTCCGTCTCTTTTTGGTGTGAACGCGACATTTCGGAACTATATCGGAACTAAAGTGTGAAAAGTACTGCTGTGTGAACACGGCTTATGAGTTTAATCTAGCCAACAGATATAAAGTATGTAAAAACATCCACAGCGGTAAAACCCTGACAGGAAATGTTTTACTGCCCAATCCATACTTAGCGGGTTTTTTCTGATGCATAGTGTTTTTGAGTAAGCGATTGACTGCAGGACTTTTACTTGTAGTGGAGTATTTTCACGGTTAGGTTTTAGTACTTTTACTTACTTTTAAAAATATATACTTACAGTGTGAATGGTGAATACACTTGGTTTTAGCATAATGGCTTATTTCACAATCATATATATATTCAATTACTGGATTTTGATTATTGATCTTTTAATACATCTTTGACTGGTAAAGATAGAGCTAGTTTGAATTACTTTGTATACTGCTGCTGGATGTCTTATGTCAATGTTTATTAGTTTATCAATATATGTTATTAGGTAATTATCTGTAAAGTAAAGCTGGCAAATAAATATACTTGAAATACAATATTGGCTGTCAAAATAGAGTAGAAGTACAAAGTAGCATAACATTATTATAATTGAATTTATTATAATGACTAAAGTAAGTACACATACCTCAAAATTGTACTTAAGTACAGTACTTGAGTAAAATGTACTTCATTACATTCCACCAGTGGATATATGAATATAGGTTGCAGCAGCCTCAGTTAGATTTAAATGTGTGTGTGATACCGATCGAACACAAACATGCCCACAAACACACACATGCACGCCTGCGGAGCGTCTTAACGACTGTAATCAAAGTTAGCCGAGTTGTGTGTGTGTCTGCATCAGGCCACACACTGATGCTCCGCACAGTTTGAAGAGGAAACTAAATAAAAGGCCCAGCTGTCCCAAACACAGTGACTCTGATTCCCCTAAATGGAAGATTGTGTTGCAAGAAAGAGACGTATCGTTCAAATATTTAATGGCATCCTGCTTACATGTGTATTCATTACAAGGAGAATCCCCCTTAAAACACTGTTTTCTGCAAACACAGCGTTTATCGTGTGATTCTGTTTTGCTTCTCCAAACACACAGAATGATGCGATAAGATGTTTTTCACGGTATGAAAGGTTGAAAAGCAAAATAATGTTTCAAACATTTTAATTAATTAAGTTAAATATATATATTTATTTTTGGGCTAAAAAATAATCTGCACCTCAACCACCTACAAGGGTAAAACCCAGCTTTTAGTTGAATGTATTAATAATTAAAGGGTGTTATACTGTATATATATACAGTATAATTCAGAAGCCTGGGACATTATACTTTTACATACAACATTTAAATCATTATATTTGCATACTTTTAGGATTTTCTTTAATGCATAACTTTGACTTTTTAGTGGGTTTTATTGGTATTAGTAGTTTTAACAAAAGAAAATGATCTAAATACTTCCTTTCTCAGTGGTATGAGCATGTGGTATCTGATGGTGCTAGGTGGAAATTCACCATCAACATTCATGTCTAAGGCACCATTTGTATATCCAATAGTTGTCATATCATCACATTTCTCTAAAGATACGTTTTGAGTGGATGATTGACAGCTGATGTCTCCCCTCAGGACCAACGAGCTGCTGGTGGCGTTCCTGTCCAAGTACCGCAACATGAACTTCATCAAATCTCACGGCAGAGACAACGCACGGTGAGAAAAAGAGAGTTCAATCTTCATCACAGTTCCTCTTTTAAATCTCCCTTTGTGTGTTTTTTTTTCTCTGCTGATTGGAATCTTATTTTTTGTAGGGGAGGTAGTTGTCTTTTGTAAAAAGATAATAATTGCTCTTCACTTCCGCTTCTTCTTTCTGTTTTCCTCTTAGCATCAGAATGAGTTTCAATAAAACAATGACAGTTTTAATTTAGATGTTACTATTAACAAACCTTATAGATATCATATATATATCATAAGAGTTTTACATTATATTATTAAGATATAATGGCCGCTTACACAGGTTAAGTTTCTTAAAGCAGTATACGTGTAGCTAACTGCATCTGTCTGTATGTCAGTTTGAGTCATCATCTAAACTCTGGACACTCCTCTCAGATTCATTCGTAAGCAGGGTCTGGACCGTCTGTTCCTCGAGTGTGACACGCACATGTGGCGTCTCGGGGACCGTAAGATCCCAGAGGGCATTGCGGTGGACGGAGGCTCTGATTGGTTCCTGCTGAACCGGCCCTTCGTGGACTACGTGGTGAACTCCAGAGACGAGCTGGTCAGCAGCATGAAGAGCTTCTACGCCTACACACTGCTGCCTGCTGAGGTAACACATACATACACACACACACACACACACACACACACACACACACACACACACACACACACACACACACACACACACACACACACACAGTCACACACAGACACACTAGCGTGAACATTTTTAGGTACTTTACTTGATACTTTGCTCGAGTATTTCCATTTTTATGCTACTTTATAATTGTACTTGTAATTAATTATTACTTTTGTTTGTTCAATTGATAAATTGTGATGTATTACTTATATTTTAACCATCGATTAATCTGACAATATTTCTTTGATTTTTGCGGTTTTGTCTGACTTAAAAAAAACAGTTTGAAGTCTTGTGATGGACATTTTCTATTACTTTAACTTTTAACGTCAAATTTATTGAATCTTTTGAAACATTCATTGGATCAAAAATATCCGTATACTCTTTATTTGTCACAGACAAAATATGCATATCAGAATTTGGTAGAAATTTGATTTTAAGATGCAATCATATAAAATATGTTATTTTTAAAACAGATATCTGGCACATCAAAATCATATTGCATCAATCAAAGAAAGTACATTAGATGAATCGCTTTTACTGAAGAGAATAAACGTGCGTGTCTGTCTGTCCCTGCAGTCATTTTTCCACACGGTTCTGGAGAACAGCGCCCACTGTGAGACGATGGTGGACAACAACCTGAGGCTCACCAACTGGAACCGCAAGCTGGGATGTAAATGTCAGTACAAACACATCGTGGACTGGTGCGGCTGCTCGCCCAACGACTTCAAGACCTCCGACCTGCCGCGCTTCCAGGTGAGACTTTAAACTAAATTAAGCTCATTTTGATATAAACTTTTGAAATAGAATAGATGTAGTTTATATGTTCTAATTTCTGGAAATGGTTTTGATGTTAATGAGGCAGTCAATAAAAAATTTAAATATACAAAACCTAAACCTTAAAGGTGGGGTAGGTAATTTTGGAGAAACCAGCTCGAGTGCGCTGGAATTTGAAAATACACAGCCGGAAAGAATCTGCCACTTCCTCACAGAGCCCCTCCTCCAACACACACGAACGCGCACATGACCAATGAGGGCACGAGATAAGTTTGTGCACAGATGGAAGGCTGACAGGCAGGTAGGCCATCCAGTTATTTTAGCCGGGCCGGCTAAAATGATTGGTCGTGCTTTTTACAGACTACCAAGGCACACAGATGACATTTTTTTATGGATTTTTTGTCAAAGCATTTAAGATATTCATTGCTATCGGGATGTTAAGAGCATTCCATGGAATATAACAAAAAGTGTATCACGAGCCGGTTTCTCAAACTCACCTACCCCACCTTTAAGTTAGAACACATTATTATAGCCTATCTAATACTAGAGAAATATAAACAAAGAAAACTATTTATTTAAGTAGTTGCCATTTTTTACATTTAAATGTATATGCAATGAGGTAGAGTGTGAGTTCAATGTTTGTTAACTGTTAAGGGTTATTTTAAGGGAAAAATACAGTGGATTCTGGTTTTTTGAAAGGAAAACTTACGAAGTTTGAAGTTCTCTGATATCCAGAAGTGAGGTAAATATAATATGAAAAAAAAAACAACATTACTTCAAATATATATAATGAAAGATTCAAGCAGTTTTTTATCCTTTTGGTAAATGGACTGCTTTTATATTGATTTCCAGTCTTTGCGGCCCCTCAAAGTGCCTTACAACAAATCAGCATTCATTCAGCCATTCACACACATTCATATTGAACAGAGGCATAGGCTGCCATACAAGGTGCCACCTGCTCAGGGAGACTAACATTCACACACACACACACACACTCACTCACACACTGTTGGCCATGGGAGCAATTTGGGGTTTATTCATTTGCTAAAAGACATGTTAACCCCAGCGGCCAGGAATCAAACCACCAACCCAACGATCAGTAGTTCACTCTACCTCCTGTGGCTCAAGGGCGGGCTAGGTTTTTAGGTTTGATCATTTAAAAAAACTAGCTAGCTCTCAATGGCTCTTCCAATGCTAGTGTTTCATTTGATCTTTTTTACCAAGATATACAAATGTGACAGATGTGGTTTGAACGTCTTGTTAATCTCAAAGCTTTCCCTGGTGTTCATTCTTTGGATTTTGTTGTTTTAATTGTGATAATGTTGCAGCCTTGCTACAGAGATGATAGACTTTATGCCCGCCCTCCCTTCTCAGGGCCTCTGTGGCCCAGAATAGCTCCGTATTCACAAATGATCAGTGGCCTCGGAGCGGCGGCCCTCGGCTCGCTGTAACCACAGACCTGAGCAGCCTCTGTGGTCGGGCTTCGGATGGTTTCTATAGGAGCTGGTCCTGGAAACAGCTGGACTCTTGGTATTTTTAGAGCTCTGTAGCGAGTTGCCGCTGAGGTTTTTAAAGTTATCATTATTATAATGTGCGGGTTCGCTTGCTAGAAAGGCTGAGTCCTGAATGTGAGGGTCAGGAACACACATGTACAGTACTATACACACTCTTTTTTTTCTCCATCATTTAACCAAATCAATGTGTTTTAGGTTTCTTCCTAGAAGGAGTTTCCTCAAATTTGGAACAAATGTCCACTAAGACTGAAATTATACACATTTGTGGTTAAAAGATCAAACATTTCATGCACTAATTATGAAAATATCACACAATATTTTTTTTTAAAACAACATTTTGTTTTCAGCCTCTCAAATAAGGACACTTACGGCTCTTATGTTCTATATCATATTTTAGTGAATATTTTTGAGGTTTGGACCAACAAATTAAGACATTAAAAAGTAAACAATCAAGAAAATAATACGCAGATTTATAGATAATGAAAAACGTTCCATCTCATGTTGTCGTGAATTTGTTTGTTTTGGATCATTTAAGTTATATTTGTAAATCCATATTGTAAAGAAAATTGATAAAACTATGCCGTAAAAGGTAAAATCCAAAGGCATGTTCACAAGTGTGAAACCTGTGTACTCTAAATAAAGCTGCTCCTACAGGCGAGCAGCTGCTTGAGTCATATTTGGCTGACCTCGTTCACATAGAGAAAAGGCACTTTTATATAGTTTCCCTCTGATGTTCTGTTCTCTTTAGCTGTGTAAGGACACAGATTGTTCGGTAACAGCCCCAGAATAACCTCTGAGATAAATCTGCTGCTCGCTGCAGTCCGCATGGCTCTCATTATGTTGGGGTTTCCTGGCCCGGCCCTGCTGCCGGGGCCACCAGGAGCCGGCTGGGTGAGGTCATGACAGCATGAAGCCTGCCCTGCCTCCTCAAGAAACAGCCACATGATGAATTGTGTGTGTGTTTGTGTGTGGTCTTACTCCAACCATCCTTCATTTTTGTTTGTATGTTTTGACTACAGCAAGCGTCGAGACCCACCTTCTTCGCCAGGAAGTTTGAGGCCAGCGTGAGCCAGGAGATCATCAACCAGCTGGACTCCTACCTATTTGGATCTCACCCCTCGGGGACCCCGGGGCTCCAGGCCTACTGGGAAAACATCTATGAGCATGAGACGGACGGCCCCGCCAGCCTATCAGACTCCACGCTCAGCCACTATCACGCCTTCGCTCGTATGGGACTGTCCCGCGCCGCCAGCTCACTGCAGGGACACCCCAATGACAACAGCTGCAGGTAAAAACATGTGGGTTTATTGAGAATGGGATGTGTTGTGGAAGTCAACCAGGAAAAACTAAACCTACTTTTATTTGTGTTGTGAGAGAAATGTGTATGTACAGTACCAGTCAAAGTTTGGACACACCTTCTCATTTGAAGCTTTTTATTTATTTTAATGATTTATTTAATTGTAGATTAATACTGAATACATCTGAACTATGAAAGACTACCTCATGAAGCTGACTGAGAGAAGCCAAGAGTGTGCAAAGCTGTCATCAAGGCAAAAGGGGGCTCCTTTGAGTAATCTAAAATATAAAACATATTCTGGATTTTTTTAACACTTTTTTGTTTACTACATAATTCCATATGTGCCTTTTCATAGTTTTGATGTCTTCAGTATTAATCTACAATGTGTAAACATATTTAAATAAATAAAAACCTTCGAATGAGAAGGTGTGTCCAAACTTTTGACTGGTACTGTATTAGCCATATTATATAAAGTTCTCCCAATACAATAATCAGTGGTGGATAAAGTACTTGGATATTTACTTTGGTAAAAGTAGTCACACCACAGTTTAAATACTTTGTTATAAGTAAAATGAAAGTATGTCTACGTTTTACTTAATATTATAGTTGTGGAATTAGAAAAGACACAAACACTCGAGATTTAGTGAATGCAGCATCTGTTGGGAAAAAACATATTTTCCTTTAACGGTCCCCTGAAACAGAACCATGAGTTAAAATGTAGATTGGAAACATTATGTTTTCATGCTGAACCTGTTTGGTTGAATTCAAACCAACACTCCGGTTGTTTTGGATTGTTTAGGTTGGTCATAATGTTGTCCAACAAACTGTGTAACAAAACACCTAAAACGGAACAGCCTGAAAAGTGGGTTTTTGGTCCAAGTCCCAAAAAGTTGTGTAATTAGTCAGTGCGACAGGAAAAGCGAATCTGATAACGTGGCAAAGAGGCAACAATGGATGACTTTTGACTTGGTTTTATTCATTGATGTGAACTAAAGGCAAAACAACCTCAAGTCCAATTTTACGATGTAATGGCTTTATTGTTGTGTAGAGCTGTTTTTGGCTATACGAAAAGACAGGCAATAAAACCCCCAGGCTCCTTCAACAATGAAACATACAATATTTGGGACATAAAAATAAATACAATGCAATGAAGTCCTCTGCCACCATAAGTGTATCAGGATTATTCAGTCGCTGGCTCAGTACATTTAGGCAGAGAGAAACTGCAGAATCTCTGTCTGATGGGATCGAGGAGGACGGGCAGATGAAATGTGTCTTTCCACTAGACTCACTAAACCGGTGTGTATGTGTGAGTCCAAATTAAATATAAAGATAACTCCACCTTGTCCTGGGATACAACCAGGCTACAGTGTCTGCAGACTGGATTTTTCCAGCAGAGTGTGTGTGTGTGTGTGTGTGTGTGTGTGTGTGTGTGTGTGTGTGTGTGTGTGTGTGTGTGTGTGTGTGTGTGTGTGTGTGTGTGTGTGTGTGTGTGTGTGGAGGGGTGGAGACCCACAGTAGGTACAAGGAGGTGGTTGTTGTTAGATTTTGGGTGGGGATGGGTGGGGGCAGCATTATGGGAAGTGTGTGTGAAGGGGGGACAAGGGTGCAGGAGTAAAACAGGACTTGTCTGTTCCCCCAACTTGTGATTTCAGTCTGAGAACACGAACACACTAATGTGTGGATATATTTAAACATGCTTCCATCCATATCCAAAACGGAGCTCTCTTAGGAACCCACTGCTAAGCTGTTGGAATTTAACAAGCAGCCTGTTCATGCTTTTGCTCCATTCTGACTCATCTCATGTTTCTGTACAGCTGATCACTTGCTACAGGTGGGTTTCCACGATGGGTTTGTATCCAGTTTAAAACTGCTAACTAAGGTCCAGGTGTTAACTGGGCTCTGAATTCAAGAGTTCTTTTGAACCTGTGTTTTACACAGATTAAGTCTTCTGAACAGAAAGACATGAAAATAATAAAACTCCTAGTTCCTCAAAGGACAATAACATTTCTTGTGGCCCCTGAACATGATATAAAATGCATACATTATATTTTAACAATCTGTTGTCTATTTCATATTCAGTTTTGTGTGTGCACTCTCCTTGGTCATCACATTTTGAAAACCCCTGTTAAAGGACGTCATAAAAATATGCCATATTAGGCTATGGTATGTCATTAAAAAAAGTCATAAAATATAATGTAAAAAAGTCCTAGTAAAATGTGTCACAGTAAGAGTATAAAGTATAGAATACCATAAAAAATGTCATTATATTGTCGTAAAAGGAAAAAAATCCATTAAAACTAAAGAAAATTGAGAATTTCATAAAGATGTCATACAAATTATAGTATAGTATATCATAAAATAGAACAAAATATTCAATAAAATAATGATAGTTTAGTGTGTCACTAAAAGTAAAAAAATATTGTTTGTCTTTAAAAAGACAAAGATAGAAATGTAACTTTGCAAAAATGTTTTTAAATGTGTCCGCTTCATTGCAGCATGTTCTCAGTACAGTGTGTTTTCCTCTCTCAGGTTCATGTCCACGAGCCACCCTGTATCCGTCCACCTCTACTTCCTGTCAGACAAGTTCCAGGGCTACCTGCTGCGCCACGTGGCCACCAACCGAGCCTCCGCCCAGCTGGAGAGCCTGGAGACCTGGGTGACCTCCAAAGACCACTACACCCCCGCCAGCCCCCCCCAACCCAACAACAGGCTGCAGCACGTCCAGGTCAGCACACACACAGTACATTGTTATGACCAGTAGGGTATATTATGTATGGAGAAGTTCTGAGAAAATAGAAAGTCGTTTATTAACACAGCCAGAAAACTAGCTCGTTGACGTTCTCAGGGACCTAAACACTTCCATGACCCTCTCCCTGTTCTCCAGGTGGGGGCGGACTGGGACCCTAAGGAGCGTATCTTCAGGAACTGGGGGGGTCTGCTGGGCCCCAGGGACGAGCCGGTTGCCGTGCAGCGCTGGAGCCGCAGCCAGAGCAACCTGACGGCCACCGTGGTGTGGATCGACCCCACCAACGTCATCGCCGCCACCTACGACATCCTGGTGGACGCGTCCGCCGAGGTCACGCACTACCGGCCGCCCCTCAGCCCCCCGCTGAGGCCCGGCCTGTGGACCCTCAGGGTGCTGCACCACTGGAACCTGCTGGGCCAGACCAGCTTCATCATGGCCCCGCTCGAGTTCCACCGGCAGCAGCCCATACAACAAGGTGAGGGGGGGAGACACCCTAAATACATCTACACATTAAATCATGACATCTAGCTACTGCTTTAATACTAACTCAATTAAAAGTGATCAACCAAGAAGATACAAACTTAAAGCGGCAAGAAACGTACATTAGCCTTAAAAAAAAGCCAAACCATGTCAAGTATTATAATATTTTTAGATAGATTTGAATAGCTAAGGTGCAGACATAACAGGTCTACAGTGGAAGATGTGTAGACTTTCAGCAGCCCTGATCAGCCGTCTTTAACCTCAGGGTGACAATAGCTGTTACCCTGTGTGAATCATGTAGGACAGTTAGGATCAAATATACTGTAAAAAATGAAAGGCAGACCGACTTTATTTACAGGACCTCAATTATTGAATACATATTTAATTGTTAATTAGCTCTTGTCAACATGCCTTAAACATGTTGCAATAACCTTTTGGTGAAATAACGTTGAGGTAGATTTAAGAGGATAGGAGCTAATAGATGTATTTTATTCATAAATGTTTCGGTTTCTTTCAGCTTTGTTTCTGATTATTCATGTACTGTCTTGCTATGGTTTAGGTTGTTGAATATATTTTCAAGTAAATATTTGTATTGGTGCATCCCTAATTCCAGTATATACCACTGTATAGCACATTTTCAGATGTTAAAAAAGTCCTTATTACATGGTCCAGTAACTTGTATTGTCTATAAGCATTGTTTTGTGGAGTGACCTATTACTACTATTCTGCTAGTCAGTAAAATATCACTAATTTGGCACAATGCTTGGCTATAATCCTGCAGAACCCCCTTGAAAACACCTGTTGAACGGATATTTAAGAGCAGCACAGGGGTCACTGTAGTCTTTATGTCAAAAGCTAATACTTAAATTACACACACAGAGCAGAGGCCCTTCCTGTCACAGCTGTCAACACCACACACACACACATATTTATAGTGTCAGTATCCAGTCACGCACACACGGTCACCTCTGTCCCAAATTAGCTTCCCGCTGAACCTCTCGTGTGTGTGTGTGTGTGTGTGTGTGTGTGTGTGTGTGTGTGTGTGTGTGTGTGTGTGTGTGTGTGTGTGTGTGTGTGTGTGTGTGTTTGGAGATAACTAAGTAAAGCCTGGGATATGAATAGATGGTGTGAGTGTTACATAGTGATGTCATTATGTTAAGGAAGTACATTTTTTATTTAACACACAGACACCTGATGTCACACACACACACTCTGATCAGATCACGTCACACTCCATCTTCACTTTATGACAGCAGCCAATAAAACATCACCATCTATTCATATCCCAGGCTTTACTTAGTTATCTCCAAACACACACACACACACACACACACACACACACACACACACACACACACACACACACACNAAATAGACCCCTGATAATGTAAATACTTTAAAATGGCATAAGTGCATTTGTAAGTGTTGGCGGAATAATTAGCTTAGGTATTCAACCTTCGACCCAGTTCATCTTTTTCTCTCTTTACTGTCTCTTTTCCCATGGCATAGTTCTACGGCCTGCGGTATTGCTGCTATCTCTCTTAAGGAGGGGCAGCTTGGGCGCATTGTTGTTGCCAGCTTATGACCGAGCACAAGCTGACATGAGGTAGTTTATTGTTCAGGGACATCTAGAAGCCCTTCTTTTCTCAGGAACGTAGGTTCCCTGGCGCACATTATTTCCTATGGACGACAGCTCTAGTTAGATTCAGGGTCCATGTTTGTTTAGTCTCGCTGATGAAGAATGTTGATTATTACACTCTGAACTAGTTAAAACCTGGAACTACAGAAGAGTTCTTCAGAATTGATTGTGGCATCTCAACCGTGTGGTCAAACCGTGGCCCGTGACATGTCTTGTGAATTCTCCGGCCGAAGCTCCAAATAAACCATCACTGTTTGCCATCAAAGCTTCAGCTCTCCTCGTGTCTCTGAGTCCTGACTCCAATTGCTTTCAGAAGTTTCCCCCACAGTAAGGGTCTATTTAAAAGTGGATAAATCCACATTTGGTGTTCTAGTGCAGTGGTTCCCAGCATGGGGTTTGGGATCCACAGAGGAGGCGACACCTGGGGTCTGCTCAACAGATTTGTTTCTTATCTTATAAATATGCAGATAAAACTGAGTTGTTAGTAGCAGTAAAATGATGTCAAAATACTTTATTATATGAATACAATTCCTCCAAAATACTTCCTTAATTAAAAGTATATATATCGGCATTAATACTGTGTAAAATCGTATGAGGTAGCTTGAAAATAAAACACAGTACATTTTGTAAGTACCTTTTTGGAAGTAAATTTGACTGTAGTTACATTACAGTCTTTGAGGTTTTTCTCCATGAAGCCCTCTGACCCACCCCGGAATGACCTGTTTATACATCAATCGGAAATAAATCAACAGGCATGAAATAAAGGGAGATTCAGTTTTATTTTCAAAAAATGTACTTCAAAATCGCTAAGGTCATTTATAAGGCATTCACAGAAATTCTTATTACTTTTTTTTTGGCTTTTGGACATTTAGAGTTTTTGATGCTTTCAGAGACCATTTCCTAAAACATGATAACATCTAAGGCACAGCACTACTCCCACTGAGAGAGAGAGAGAGAGAGAAAAAACACATCAGACAAAAATGGCACTTGCGTCAAAAAGGGTTGTACTGGAAATAAAATAAACAAACTGAATTTAAGTGTGAGAAAAACGTATGAAATAATAATTCCAGAATCTGAAAACTTTATCAACATTTAAAAATTCTTATAAACAGTCACATGAATTCTGTGGCACCATCATCATCTTAACTTAGAAACTGTACACCGTCAGAGTATTTTACAAAATACTGAATTACATCAACTCACTCGTTATATGAAAAGTACATATCGGACATAAAATGGCTCTTAATATTCAAATTAACATTGTGCAGCAAAGAAAATAAAATGTCTTTTTAACATTCAGGACTTTCTCTGAGACCGACATGATGCAAAAATGAAGCATAAAGGCAAAATTATTGTATGTGTGTGTTAATTAATAAATAATGTTTACATTTTACAAAAAAATAATTCTGAAAACTCCATAAGAAATGTATTTAAAACCGAATATTTTGTGTGAATCGAATGATGCGACATTTAAACCAAATGACTGTCGAATTAACTCAAAACATGTTTACTAAATAAAATAGTCATACGTTTTCTACCTGGTTATGGTTTTTTCACGTATTTGTGGTGAACATCTCCTTTAGACCTATATACCCCTCATGCTACATTTCAAAATAAAAGCCCGCTTTCTTTTACAGCTTTTGTCCCAGAACCGAAATAAATACAGATTTAATTCAGCAATAGGGTTTTTCATGAATAAATCTTATTATTTTGTTGACACAAAACCATAAAGAACTATTTCAAAGTTGTATATATAGGCTACCGTCTTGAATGTTAAGCAAAATACTGTTATTTATTGGTGGTCATGTCCTCATTCTCGCATATTATCTTTCCTAATAATCTCCCTTACAGGTGAACCTATTTTTTTTATATTGTGCTTTTTAAATAATAAAAGTAAAGGATTCACAACAAGGGAAATGTCCTCAGTCTAATTCAGAAATCCAAAGGTTAAAACATAACCAGATCGTACCTGTTGCTGTCATTTGAACCCTTAATCTAGTGGCAGTAAATGTCTGATATATTTAACAGAAGATGGCTCTTTCATGGCTACACCCACCAACACTGTGCTGAAACATAACTTCTGGTAACATCTGCACCAGGCGTCCATTTCAAATAATAATTTATATATAATAGTCACAATCCTTTTTGTGACCATTATATGCTATACGTAAAGTGCTGACTGTCACAGAACAACACTCATTCTCAGCTTCACTCTCATGGTTAAAACAAAACAAAAACACTCCTCTCCAGTTTTGGTCCCAATAATAGTCACATGGCAACTACACACATTGAAATGATTTATCAAAAAATAGTAAATATCAGTTTTTATAGTATCAAACAAAAGATGGATTGCACCAGCGAGGATCAAGTTTTGTTAGTTGTTATTTGGTAACACAAGTAACATAGGGTGGGGTTGAAAAGTAATATTTGGACATTTTCAGGAGAACTTTTATTCCCTTTCTTGCTGTAAATTAACAAAAAAATATGATCATCTTACCATAAAGACTGAAAGCAGGTGGGAAAGGCTAGCCTGGCTCATCTAAAGCTGAATTATTTTTTAAACGTAGTTTGTGTAATCCATAAAAAAACGGAATATTAATAAATAAAATCTTGTGTAGCTACAATTCCAAACTCTATCCAATGAAACTGAACTGACATTTAATCCAGTTAACCAACCTTTCAGATTTTTTTTCACTAACAGTATTGTTTATGTTCAGTGTCTGACTAAAACTGAAAATATTAGCCAAGTCTTTAAAAAACCGTTACTAAAACTGATGTTTACATAAGCCTCGTATGCGTCACTACTCTTAAAAGCCACACAGTGTAACCTTCATCCTAACTGGTGCAACCCTATGAATATTTAACGTCTTGGCACAATGTCCATCACAGGGCAGCATGGAAATCTAAAGGTGCAAAACCTGTGTCGGTGGTCTCCTCTCCCCCCGCACTACACTCAAACTCAACTCTCAGCGACTTTATGCATGGGTATATTTTTGTTTAGTATGGAAGGAACCAAAAATGCTTCGAGAATTTGCTTTTGCCCATTTACTTTCCAGAGTACTACAATCTGATATTCTGAATACAGGAATATTAATTGTGGAACAAATCTCTTCTTATCACATTCAATTATCAATTTATCTAACTTATTTATCTGCATAACTTATTTTATATGTACCTTTTTGGCTCTGTGTTCAGACATACAGAACAATATTCCCTTCCAAGGCTTAACTTGTGCTCTGTTTGCTGATAGCTATATCATTACATGTTTTCCATCCAATCATTTCATTATAACTGATACCATTTGTTTTTGTTGAGACCAATTATACAAAATGTTGTAACCGTTAGACACCGCCCAATCAAGGCAGGTGTTTTTGTCAAAGCAAATTCCAGCATATGAAATATTAGCCACTGACTTATATATATAAAATTTTTATAAACCCTCTTCTGAATAAATGACTCGTATATTAGTTGCACGCTTTGAAAGTGACATCTGTTTCTACAGCGAGTATGGAGCAGATTTAGAACGTGTGTAAAGTCCAATATAATAGGCTGACTGAAGGATTCAGACAGTTCTTTGTTTTGAACACTTTTTAATTAAATGGTCATTTTGGCACCAAATAAATAATACAAAATAAATATGACATATTTCTATTGCTTGCTAATTTTTTCCTGTTTCTTCCAGCTAGAGGTGTGCTGTACGTCATCTTGAGACAGGAAAGTTATAATTCCACCGCTTGGCTAAGATAAAAATGAGCTCAAAGCCAGGCGCTCTTCCAGGGGGCTCGGGACCTTCATGGACACAGAAAGTATGAATTGGTCTACAAGGACCAACTGTTTTATATTTCAGCATCTGAACATGTAACACCTGCCTACCTTCCCCCAGGGAAACGCTCACATCAGGAGGTATAGAGTTCTTCTGACACACCACGTCCACACACACTTATTCACACCCACACACTCGCACACAGCATGATGTCCCAAGCAACAATGAGAGCAGCAGACTGACTGAGGACTGAAGGAGATGCTTCCTCTCTTCTACCCGTCACTGCCTCCAGAGTTTCATTAATCCCCTTTCACTGTAACGTTGCACACACTTTTAAATAAATAAATATCAGACAGGACGTGTGTCTTCCTTCATGTGTTCCTTGTGTCCTCCCTCAGTCCGTACGTCTGCTACCTGATCCTCCCGTCCTCTCTGGGGGGGCTGAGCTCAGACTTTGGGTCGGGGCTGGCGGAGCTCCAGGGGGTGAGCTTGCAGCGCTGCATGATGGGACACACGCTGGGTCCCATGGAGCAGACGTCCGCGGCCGACCAGTGGCCCTCCAGCAGGCGGTCCAGCCAGAGACGCAGCGGCACCCCCGTCAGGCCGGCGTTGGCCTCCGCCTCCTCCACTGCCCCCAGACTCACCGGCAGCCGCAGCACGGGGTTCAGGCCGTGGAAGCTCTGCTCCATGTAGGAGTTCTTTGGCGGGCCGCTGTGCAGCCGCAGGGCGTCCTCTGGAACCCCGGAGGAGAGGGGGGAGGAGAGGGGAGAGAGGAAAGGAGAGGTGAGGAGAGGAGAGGAGAGGAGAGAAGAGTGGTGAAAAAAAAAAAAAAAGCTTTTTGACATCCTGCTGGATCCAACATTATCATATGTTCACATTATCACTTTCATTTGTTTGGTAATGTTGTTATGTTGCTATACCAGAGGTTTGTAACAGTCTTTCGCCATCAATTGTAGGGTTTTAGTCTAATGCGAGTGTCGAAGGACAGAGGGAGACCATTTTGTATTATGTGATATTGGGCTATATACAATTTTTTGACATTGAAATTAGATTGATTGACCACAAAAAAATTGTAAGTTACATTATTGATTATTTTTCTTTAAAGGGGCCCTATTATACACATTTTCAGGTTAATTTGGGTATTTTGTGCCTCTACTGTGACATATTTACATGCTTCAAAGAGGCCCTATTATGCTTGTTGGGGTTTTCCCTTTCCTTTTGTGTATTGTATATATGTTTTGTGCATGTTAATGTTCAGCAAAGGCTAAAATCCCAAAGTTCCAAATTCCCCCTCTGTCTGAACCCAGATGCCCATTCTGCTCTGATTGGTTAGGTGGTAGGTTCTGTTGAGATTGGTCAACCACTTAAAGATGTCCCACCCTTTAGCCTATGACTGCCAAGGCACAC